CCGGGGCCCCGGAACCCCCTTCCCCCCCCTTTGTCCCCCCCCCGTTTTTTTTTTCCCCCCCCTTGGCCGGGGCCCCCCGGCCCCCCCCCCCCCCCCCCCCTCGCCCCCGATCCCCCCCCCCCGCACCCCGCACCCCACGAACAATGTCTCTGCCGACCCTCTCCGCCCTCCCGGACGACGTGCTCCTCCGCATCCTGCACCTCTCCGGCGACGCGGGCGACCAAATCGGCCTCGCGTACCGCCTGTCCATGCTGTCGCCGCGCTTCCGCGTCCTGCTGCACCGCCACTTCCTCCCGTCGCTCACCTCGCTCACGAAGGACTCGCTGCGCTCGCTCTCGCTGGCCGACCCGGTCCCGGCCCGCGCCGCCTTCACCTCGCTCTGCCGCCACGCCGTGTCCGTGCGCCGCCTCGACCTGGGCGGCCTCTCGCCCGCCCTGCTCTCGCGCGCCGCCGTGTCCGCGCTCGCCCGCGCCGCCGCCGCCTCCCTCACCCACGTCCAGCTCACCTACTGCCGCGTCGCAGACTCCGTCCTCGACCCGCTGCTCGCTTGCCCCAACCTCGTCTCGCTCTCGCTCATCAGCTGCTCGGCCATCACTGGCGCCATGTTCGCCCACCCCGCCGCACGCGCCCCGCTCACCTTCCTCGACCTGTCCTATGTCCACTCCCTCACGTACGAGGGCGTCCACGCCGTCGCCGCCATCTCCACCCTGCAGACCGTCATCTTCACCGGTTGCGACGCCGTCAACTCGCGCACCCTCCCGGCCTTTGCTACCGCCCCCATCGCCACCAGCCTCGTCTACATCGGACTCGCACGCTGCCCCGTCAAGGACACCGCCTTGTTGCAGCTGGTCCACGAGGCCAAGGGCCTGAGGAAGATGGTCCTGGCGGAGGACAACATGAATTTGTGGGAAACGGGCAACTATTCCGCCAGGTGCGTCGACGAGATTCGAAGGGTCTACCCGCACGTCGAGATCGTTTTCATCGTGTAGACCGTCGCCAGGGGGGCTCGCGAGCAGGGCGTATGTGGCCATCTTACGCCCCGCATACGAGGCCGCCTACGTTGTGCCCCTCCCTCGCCCTCTCCCCCTCAACCCCCCTCATTCCAGATCGCGAACCGCGTTCGCGACGTAGCAGTCGCCGCCGTGTCCCGTCCGCGCCTTTTTCCCGTCCGCCGCGCCCGCCGCTTCGCACACGACTTGGACACACACCACCTCGCGAGGCCGCCCTCGCGCCGCCGCCGCCGCCGTTGCCGAACGGCCCGTGCTCTGCCTCACCGGCCTCTTGGGATTACTACCATCTCTAGCCCACGTACGACAAGTCATACGTCAAGGGCGCGCATGCTCCCGATGCAGAGCTCCACCAACCGCGTCCCCCCCCCTTTCCCAATC